TCGCCTTTACAAAACATCTATATGACACGCACGTCAGTCTTTAACTGAGATGCAAAGCTGAAACTTGTCTCTCTTAAACTCCCACATAAATAGTCAAAATTTCGCACTCATATCATTTATTTTAATTTATTCGTATTTAGTTAAATGATAAAATTCGTAACAATCGCGACTTACCAAAACATTTCTGATGTAACCGTCGTGATGGCTCCTTGCGATGGTGAGGATAAGGATATTCAGGATGGAACACAAAAATTGAAATAAGAAAAAAACGAAAAAGTAATGTCCTGTTTGCAAATTTATTTAAGACTAGAAAAAACGAATATTGACATAATATTACTCATCAATACTAAAATGATGAAAATGAATTATTAAATAATATAATAATAATAATAATAATATAACGAAGATGGAGATAATAATAATAAACTATATACATAAAAATGGTAGGAAAATAATGTATTGATCGACATACATAACATTGATGAATATCAGTGCTTAATACCGACGTGAATGAGTGTAGGAAAAGTAAGCGAGAAGCGAAGCCACACCCTCGTCAACCATGGATCGAGTGTAAAATAAAATAAATTCGAGAGAGAAATAAACGGACGCTGTGTGTACGGCCAGCTGTGACGAGACATCCGGTTCCAATCGGATGAAAAAAACGCGTAGGCAGACGAGAACGTGACCATCACAAAGAAGATTCATAAATAACTAATATAAAAGAAAATAATAATTAATAATATTGGATCATATGCATAACACTTTCACAACGCATTCTCTAGTCATAGGTATGATCGGTATCATTCCCGATGTCGCATCTACATTACGTCGTCGTTAATGGCAAATTAGGCGCTACAGGCGATGCTGTTTTGGAGCTAACACGTAGAATTAATCGCTTACGTGTACTTGAATCGAGGCTAGTTGTGAGGAAGGGCCCTATTCGGATTTCGGGTTCGACTTGTACAGGGAGATAGAGAGACTTGCGCAGTATTTACAATGGAAGCTGAACGCGCAGCAAGAAATCCGTAAAGGGCGTCAAGACGTTGACGTCAAGATGTTGACGGAATGAGTTGTTAGCTTCGCAAATAATGACGACGATAACGAGAACGATAAAAGAACAATATGTCAACGCTTAGAAATGTAATCAGTTAAAAACAGATAATCACTAATGTAATCGTACTAATTTTATATAGATATACTAAAGCTTGAAATATAAAATATAGTATATAATAAAATTCTTATTTCTGAGTCTTTAACTGTACACAGGAAAAAGCAGCTATTTAATTCAATTATATCAGTATTTTTTAAGTTATTTAATTATACTCATCATATTTCAACGTTTACGGATTACTAATCTAAAACTAAACTTATAAAGATTAAATAATACGTTTTGTTAATAATTGTTTATTATCACGTATGTCTCTTCTTCTTCTTCTTCTGTATAATATTGTTCACTTCTTCTTAATTACTTTAGTGTCATTTTTTTATTAAAAATGACGGCAAATTACTTTTTCTCTTTCGCTCTCTCATTCACTCATTCGCTCTCTCATACTACTTTCATACTTTGATATGCTGCAAAAAGAAAGCCCTTTATCATCCATAATTATCGATACATTCAACCATTCGTAATGCGTATCATTGATAGGAACTTTAAAGAGTATTTCCTAGTTCTAGATATATTATGTTCAGATAAATATGTATCTGAACATTCTATATATATATGTATATATTATATATATATATTTTTTTGTGTGTACAAGAGTTACATACATGAGATACGAGAAAAGTATATGTTCCTAACACGTGGACGAATCGTAACGTTGATGAATCGTATTTAGCATAGCATGTTGTTACTATAGGTCTGTTTTTTCTATTTTTGCACTTCACTGAACTAGAACTCTCTTTCTCATTTTCATCAAGTATTAAATGTATATCTATCTCACTTTAAGTTTCAAAAGTTTATATTAGTTCAGCCTCATAGAAAATAGACTCTATGTTATTAAATCGAATAGACTCTTTTAGAAGTCATTCAAGTAATCTCACATGCCAAATTGTACATAGATAATAAATTATGTATAATTGCAATACATGTTATATCTTACATGTAATTGCAGTCATTTATACGACCTTTGAAACGACTTCGCGCCGGCAAGTTCGAAATTTCTTGGCACAGCGTTAATTTTTTTAATGATTTTAATGACCAGTTATAAAATATATAAAATCCATAAAAGTTTTCTAACATTGTTTTGATACATTTTTCTATACTATTTTCTATTTGACCGTTTCGCTGATAATTTGTAGGAATCAATAATAAACGATTTATTAGTCCCGTATAATTAATTAACTCGTCAATCACAATAAGTAAGAAATAAAGCCTATAATTGGTCGAAGCTGAATTTTAAGTGCTTTCGATAATTTCATGTCAATTTATATACCACATTTGTAATCTTTTTTTACTATCCGATCGGGTAGCCGGATATTATTAGTAGCCAGTAATATATCCGGTTGAGATTTTATATTGAAAGTTTGCGTCATTAATGCAGAATTTTATTCTTTTTAGCCAAACTTCTTGCACAGTTCATCTTTCCTTTTTTTCTTTTTACGTTGGGAAGATAAAGAAAATTATTATCGCTATTTTTCCCTTGCTTTTTTTTTAATTGCGCGCCGAATTGGTTTTTCCATATTGAGAGAAATCAAATATAAACGTCAGCTTTGATCTTTGGGATCTGTCATAATGATTTGATTCTTGAAATATGTTGTTAAACACAAAAATCTAAGAAACATATAGTTTTTGTTTGTATCAGCCTAATCTCAGTTTTAAGGAATGAAACAATTTCTCAAAATAAATAAGGGTATTTTTCAACAAGATTACTATAGACTTAGAATTCCTAGAAAACCTGGAAAAATATAAAAAGCCTAGAATTTTGAATTTTTTTCTAACAATTTTCTTAAATTAAATCTCTTATTTTAAAAAGTATATATTCATTATTTTTTTAATATATCTAATTTTATATCTACATTTATAATCAAAACATTAAAAATTTATACACTTTATATACATTTTTTACATATTATTACAAAGGAACGCTTTTGAGGTATTCTTGCGTTCATTTCTTGTCCGTTTTTCCATAAGAATTGGAAGTTATTGGCTATTGTCCTTTCTTGCCACGCAGTAAACACAAATGTTTTCGCGTACTGTGTGTAAAAGCCCCTGTATCTTCTGTTTTTCCATTACTACTTTTTGCTAATGTATTTAGATTGTCAACTTATTTATATTTATTAACATCAGTAACGTTAAATCGTTTCAACAATAAAATTAACTACTAATGGATTTTTAAAATTCAAATATTAAGCCGAGGTAGGAATCACTGCGCAGTAATCAGTGCGCTACAATTAAAAAACGTAAAATATGTGTTCAATTCCGTGACATATGTAATACAATATTCGATCGCAATATTAGACTGAGATCACCTTGACCAAATGACTTTTTTCACTTATTTGTATTAAAAATTTGTCAGTTCATTTTTACTTAATATTATTAAAATTAAAAATTACATATTTAATATTAATCATGGAAAAATTCTCCACTCGTCTAAAAAATTCCGAAAAATCTTTTTCTATGGCAACTCAAAATATTAGGTTTTTTTTAAAATCCAAATAGTTATAAAGTATATATACATATAAAACCATATTTTTGTCTGAAACATTTTTCTGTACATCTCACTATTTCGCTGATAATTAATAAGAATCAAATATAAGAGTTAGTTTTGAGAGATTGTTTCATCTTTTATATTAGAGATGCACCGGATATCCGGGAAATATCTGGTATCCGGTATTATCCGGTACTTTTTTTTACTATCCGGTCGGATAACCGTATAAATCATTAGTATTCGGTAATATATCCGGCTGAAATTTTATATTGAAAATTTGCGTTATTGATGCAAAATTTTATTCTTCTGTGCTGAACTTCTTGCACAGTTCATCTTTCTTTGTTTTCTTTTCATGTTGGGAAGATAAAGAAAACTATTATCGCTATTTTTTCTTTGCTTTTTTTGGAAGCCTTGCTCCAGATATTCGACCGGATATCCGAGAAAATATCTGGTATCCGGTCGGATAATGCTCTATTGGATATCCGACCAGATATCCGAAAAGAAGTGATACCGGATATCCGATATCCGGTATTCGATAATTTTACGATCCGATGCATCCCTACTTTATCTGAGAGATTGGGCTAATATAAAAAGTATGTCTATGAGATTTTTGCGTTTAATAATATATTTCAAGAAGAATCGAATCGATCCCGGACAATTGTGACAGTTTCTCTTGTGAGTAAAGCAAACTTTCAAACAATCTATCATACAAATATATGTATGTATATGTATGTATTAAATACAACATATAAATATATATGTGTATATATATATACACATAATATGTAATATATATGTACGTATACTATGTAAATATAATATTTATAAATATATAATATATGTACATATATTTATAAATAAATATATATAGATTCATATGATAGTTCGTTATAAATCTGTACGAATTTCAATTCGACATCGTATGATTCGTTTAATCGTTTAAGTCAGCCAGACACTCACCGGCCG